CTGGTTGCAGCTTTCTTTTTGAAACTTTAAATGTGACCTAACTGAGCCATGTAAAAGTAAAGACCAGCTGCAGGACTGCAGAGACCACTCACCACTGCTGCTGCACAAAGAGCTCTTCATCTGTTTATTCAAAGTTCATGGAAGCTTGACTCAGTACACAGAACCTTGTCTTTGCTGTTGTGATTGACATCCCTTAAGTTGATGAGTCCTCACTGCCTCTGTTACAGAGCGATATAGTCACCTGTCTATTCAAAGGCTATTAATAGTGAAAGTTTCATGTCCAAATTGCACCAAATTCGACACTGCACTTCCTTGGGCTTTTAACAATACACATACCAAGTGTGAAGCCAAATCAGACAAATGGTTCTCGAGATATGCCCTCCACATTCAGACAGATACACAGACAGACAGAGATTTCTGGTATTAGTAGATAGATGAGTGTGGAAATGTTCAGCTCATGCAAATTCATACATAATATGCTGCATAATCATAAACGCTGCAATTCTGGGGCAGTTTTGTTATTATTTGGAATTATATTTTACTTGTTTCTGATTATAACTTTCCAAACACAGAAATTGCCATCTCTCACTGGGGCATTTCCAGCAGCTACAATGGAGAAGTGATTGTAGAAAAAAGATTAACTGTCTTAAATGTCTCTCAGAAGGAAAGAGAGGGGCTTCTTTTTACACACCATTTTGAAGCAGGCGCTCATCAGTTTTAATGGGGGAATCCATTGCTGAGGAGCCAGAGATACAAATTTCTACACTGATGGCAACATTGAAAATCCAGAGGGTGATGCAGCTATAAAACATGTTGCGTTATGAGTAACACGAGAGCCCTTTTTTTCTTCGGAGGGGGTGGAGTGTGTTCTCCGGGTTTTATTGAGATGACATTTTGGGAAATCAACTGGCATAGATGTAGACAGGGCAGGTAGAAGGAAAGCAAAAAGAAAAGAAAAAAAACTCTGCATCACAAGATAAGACCTGAAATGCATTAAACATCATAAATAGATAAACAACAGTATAAGCATCAGGCAGTGAACTGCAGTAAAGGTAAAGCCTTAGTGGGGTTTTTAATATATGGGCAGGATTTATCCACATGGTCCAGATGGTTGTTGACAGCCTTTTAGAGTGAGACAGTCGCTAGTTTCATAACACATCAGTCAAATTATTCCACTACAAAGTTTACTTACCTGACGTTGTTGACAAATACACAATGTCAATAATTAAATGGCTCCGTTATTAAATTTAAAAAAAAAGTTTTCATTCTTTAATCATTTTCATTGTCTGTGTGACCCAACACAAATGTCAGTCCCCTAAACATGCCTGTTGTTTTTAAATTGAGATTAATGAATTATTCTCTGAGAAATCAACTTCAAAAACATCTCTCAATGTTAAATAATGTTGAACGGGTTCTTTCATCACTGGTACCAAATCCTTCCACCAAGTTACAGAATGGTAATCTGGCCAGTAGTTTTTGCGTAATCCTGCTAACTAACAGCAAAATGCAAATAATGTGAAATGGGAATATTTAAAATTAGATTTTTTTTCACATCTCAATTTTATAAATCCCAGTAACACTAGCCTAAATGGCCAAATAGTCATGTAGTTAAGCACAATGTAATACATCCTACTCTATAAACTCAATGAATCATATTAACCCTGAAAAACACATATTTCTCCATTAATGCAGATATACAGTAAAATAAAACTAAGTATTGCCTTTGTTTGTAGTTTATTAACTATGCTACCAGCACAACAGTAAATCAGTTAGAACAAAAGCAGTTACCCCTCTAATGCTCTGTTTCTGTGTTTAATTTTTTCACACTACAATTAATTCCAGTAAATTATTCTTTGCCTTTCTGCTGATGGATGTTATGTTACTGTCAACAAAACTTCTTTTTTCTCACTAAAAGCCTCTCTAAAAGAGATTGCTGCAAATCCTAAAGGCAGTCTCAGGTTTCATTCCTGGTAGTTTAACATTATTTGCAGAAAAGGCAAAAAGGGGGTCGCCTGATGTAAGTCTGCTTTGTTCTGATATAGTTAGTGCCATGGATAGTCCAGAGAATCTATCACGAATAAAAAGTGAACAATATGGCAAATGCACTGTATTCATATAGAGCTTTTCTAGTCCACTCAAAGCACTTTACAGTACATGATGCATCCACCCATTCACACACATATTCATACAGCATTGTTACACACAGCAGCTTTTCTATCACACACCATTTAAACACTGCCAGCACAGCTGTCAGGGGTTCAGGTTCTTGCCTGAACTGAAATGAGATTTGTGATTGGCGTCACCAGCTCATCCCTTATTGCTGTTAAGAAAGTTTTAACACCCCTTGTTTTTTTTTTTTTTTTACATATGTACTGTTTGCTCTCCGGTTGAGTAGAAGTGAAACTCAAATATTTGAAAAAGGTTTGTCCATAAAGCACAATTAGTCATATATTGGGCCGGTAAGGATCCACCTGTTGGAGCCTTCATTTGGAAGGACGCATTTGCCAGGTGCATTTGAAGGATCCTTTGAAATGGCACAGTCTATTCCTGCCGCTGCGATGCAATCGGTCTTCACATGCAGCCTCAGAGGGATGCAGCCCCCTGAATTGAAACACAGCTGTTGTGATGTCTGTAGCTGCAGCTCAGTCCTGGTGTATCAGGCGACCTCACTGGTTCACTCCACCGATCACATTGTAATAAAGCGTGGTTTCAGTGCAGTGTCTTTTCTTAATAAGAAAAGCTTTCATCACTCAGGTTCTAGATGTATTTCACATGGCCTGGGGCTCGGTAGTCAGCGTGGACCAGTATTAAAAGGGCCCAGCGTCTGATATTAGTCTATGTACAGCCTGCAGCTCATCAGCAAATGGGTGAATGGGAGCCTTACTGTAATGGAGACATTTTATTTGTCTGCTCTTTTACACTTGAATGAATTTTATTTCAGTTCATCATAAGATCTATCAGCTCTTAAACAAGCTGTGCACATGGTACAGTCTCACACTGTCACATTAAATAAATTCACGCCGTACTGAGCTGCACATTTTCAAACTGAAAGAGTGGAGATATTCACATTGGGAGATGTTAATGAAACTGTGGTTCACACATATATGGAGAAGTATAGTGTGTTTAAAGGCTGAAATTAAGTGAGATTCACCAATAATGAGGCGATGGGGGATTGTGAAAATGTTGAAGAGTGAGGATTCTTGAGAGAGAGAGGCAGCTATGGGATTTACACTCTCTCTCTTCTTTTTAAAAAGAACTTGGCTGATACATTATGTGAGCATGTTCCCATTTGGCAAATTTCCCACTGAAAAAAGCTAAATGAATATGAGAGACGTCCCCTGTGAGTTCTGACTCAACACTGTAACGGTCCCTTGCAGAACACGGTCACAGCAAACTAAATATCAGATTCACGTGCAGAGAAAGAATAAAAAAACAGGATTTTTTTTATGACTCTGTCGTCAGGTTTCAGTTTTCTGAACGCACAGCGGTGTCCTTGGGCTAGCGCTGCAGACTCTGCTGTGTTTATGGATATGCGGGAGAGGAACAACTCTCGGATATCGCATATGTCAGCCGCAGCAAGCCTTGTCACCCAGCCAGCAATTTACACTCTTTAAACATGTGCTGTGGCTTGATTCAAACTGGGAATGTATAATGATCTGGCGCACAGTAGCCAGGCTAGCAGAATTAATTCAATATTTCTTTGACTGGAAAAAGATCTCATTATATTGTTTTTGTACATAAGGTTCAATCACCTGCTTGTTATCCAGGTGGAAAATTCCTGTATGATTGACTTTTTTAATAATTAAAAGACGAATTGAACCATATTGCCCTTGTCACTTTCTTATCACTCAATTGTTCATTTTCCTTTGGACTGTAGTATAAGCATGAGTATATTCATTAGCTTTGCCGCCAGTGAGGCTTTTTATTCCTATTGCGCGGCTCTTATCAGTCCCCAGTGAAGGGACCTGAAGCCAACTGGTTTCCATTCTGTCCATCTGACAGGGACTGAGTTACACCTGCCATGTCAGGTGAATGCAATTTACTTGCTGGTTGGCGAAACCAGCGGTGGCGCGAGTCCCGAGGACTTGGACTGAGAGCAGCTTTCAATGAGAAACGCTGACGCCAAAAACAAAATGATGTTGTGAAGGACAAACGTGGAGCAAAAGCTAAAAGTTATTTTCAGACCAGCAAACACACACACAGGCACACAGTGCAAATTAGGAAATGTTCATCTAATAAATACAGTAATGATTTTAACACTAAGGTCAAGTGCGACCATGAAAAACAGAAGTGGAAATCCTCTGTTGCAAGCAAGTAAAACTACCAAAGTGAATTCAGCTGTGGTTTGTTACACATCCTTTAATGAATGATTCTATTCATTATCAATGAATCTCTTGATGAATAATTAATTTAAAAAACGTCCTCAAAAATGATCTCAATATCAAATGTTGAAAACCTCAAATATATAAAATTAACAATGATAAAATATGAAAGTAGAAAATCCAGATGCATTCTTTGCTTGATAAACAAAATGAATTGTTGATTAGCAAAATAATTGCCAGTTAATTTTCTGATGATCAGCTGATTAGTTAATGAATGAATTAGGTTTTAAACAGATTTAATGGAGCGACAAAGATATATTCTGTTGCAGAAGAAGAATTAAAAACAATAAAACCTTACTAATATTAGCATAACATTTTGTGTGTTTTCCCCTATTGATAAATTTTTACTATTTATTGAATTAATTTAAAATATATTAAATTAATTTGATTGAAATTGAAACCATATGTTTCTCATCTTAATGAATGTAAAATACTAGAACCAGAGAATGTCAGAGCTTCTGTAAAGCCACATTTAGGTCGACTGAGCAACTAATGCTTTGGCCATCCACAAGATGATTCATTGTTTGAATGATTTGTCTGTCTATTGAAATGAAGTGTAAAATATTTTTGAAATGTTTTTATCATTAATATATTTCCTGTGTCTTTTTTTTCTTTCAGCCAACAAGACTCTTCTAGGCGGAGGTGGAGGTAAGTCTCAACCTGCCTGGTCCATTTGTTGTGTGCGCCTGTGCCTGCCAAGACACTCGTAGGCCTCAGCTGTTTTTGCAGCTTTGTGGTGCAAATACTCCAGTCTGGGCACTAAATAATTGGAAATGTCGTACTTCTTTTAATCAGATGATGCAGTGCAATGTGCTAGCCAAAGGGTGTGTGTGTGTTTGTACATATTGTGTGTCTGTCTGTTTATTCTTTGTGTTCGGTAGCAGGTAGCTCTTTGTTGTGGCAGGTGTTCAAAGTGCGTTTGCATGCTGCACAGTGTGTCTGTCTGGCCGTGTGTGTGTGTGTGTGTGTGTGTGTGTGTATACGAGCAGGTGCAAAGTCGATAGTTCATAATTTATGGGCGTGGAGTGCTGTGGATATAAACAGTCATTTTTCAGTGTATTGTTGACTCAGTGCTTTGCCTCGTGCGTGTGATGTTGGACGTCCGTGGTTAATCGATACTTGTAATAAATCTGTACTACTAATGCAGCAGCCACATTTGCTCAAACATACATACACACACACATGCACACACACACACACACACATGGTTGATGGTTGCAAATCTCGGTGCTGGTGTATTTGCCTGTGGTTGTTTTCTTTCTCTTCATTTGAACAAACAGCTTTCCTCTTTCAGACCATCACATTTGCACTGCCATTTTTAACCTTCCACTGTCTGTGTGCTTGTATGTATATGTGTGTGCATCCATATGTCAATTCATAGCATTATATTTGCTTGTATCAAGTGTTATGTTGAAGCAATCAAGTCCTTGGCATCCACACACACACACACACACACACACACACACACACGCACGCACACACATTTACTCGAGCTCCACCCTTATCCACTGATATACACCAGCTGAGCCTTAAGCCATAAAAATGGACTGCACACCCTTGTGTCCTGTGGCCTCATACTCAGAGTCAGACACACACGCACACACACACACACACACACACACACACACACACACACACAGTGTTTATGTAGTGAAGCACCTCGAGATCTGCAGCATCGTTTGATGTTGTCCTGAAGTCTCTGATGGTTCTACAAAGACAGATGGTTTCTAGAGAGGCTGTGAATGTGTGTCATCAGACTGTGTGTGTCTATGTACAATAACAACACTAGAGCAATAACACACACACAAACATTATGTTGTTTGCATTGGTTTTGCTATTTTAATTCTTTTTTTCATTTATTTTATTGCGTTAAATCAACATCTGTTTTCATTTTAAAAATGTCCACTAAATGACTGCAGGAGGCTACCTGTCGACCAACCACCATCTGCATCTGTTTGTTTTTTTTCATCTCTTTTATTTCTCTGTCACCCTCTGCATATTTCTCTCTTGCGCAGTTGACTCCTCTCATCTGTCTCTTCATGTATTTACTCTCTGTGTCTCTCTTTCCAGCTCTGTCCTCAGGGGTTTGCTAAGGCAGAGCCTGCAGTAGGTGTTAATTAGAGAGAGACGTAAGCGTAGAGATAGGGAGAAGAATAGAATAAACAAGAGAGATGAGAGGGAGATGATGGTGAGAGCAAGAAGAAGAAAAAGAAAGAAACTGCACTGAAGGTCTTAGAGCGTTAAGTGGGGGAAAACGCACACAAAAATCAGTGCAATACATCAGAGTGTGTTGAATAACCAAGTGTTCATTCAGTGTGTTTTTTCATCAGACAAGAGGCAACAAAAGGTCTTTACAGTGCTTTACTACTCAGTCTCAAGGGTACCTGGGTAAATGTCATTCAGTGAGATCAAACGCTCACCTGCCGACATTGTTTTCTCACTTCAAACTAGAGGAGGACCAGGCTCAGGCAGCGCATCAACAGCGAACTCAAGGGCAGGAAATTAACGTTTTTTTATGTCCACTGGCTGCAGTTGCTCATTTATTCCAGAGCTTATCTGCCATTTCAATGTTTCACTGCTATGATTGATTTTCCAAATGGGAACGCAAGCCCATGATGATGATTGGGGGTCAGTGAGACAGTCCGTTCTAGTCAGGCAGACAGCTATATGAACTTGAGACCACTTAAACACATGTTTCTATTTTGTATTGGTTTCAAACCTAATACAAATGATTTCATTGCAAATGTTGAGTCTTTATTTGAATTTCAGAATATCAAAGTGTGTGGTTTGTCCTCCTTTTGCTTCAATGATAGCACGCACATTATCTGGCATGGACTCTCTGACCCCTGTTATCCCACCATGATTTGACAATGTACCAAAGAGCTTGTGATGTCACAGAATTCATGTCTTTCTCAGTCTTTAGCCGCCTCCATATATTTCCAATGGGATCGAGGTGAGGCGACTGGAGTAAAGTCTCCAGTCGCCTCACCTCGGTCATCTAGAGTTCTTGTCTGAAAAGACTGTACTATAGCCTTTTACAGACTTGAACTCCAGATGATTGGGTATGCATATACTCCGGACTTTGCCATTCAAATATCAATAATGCAGCAGGAGAATGTCAGAGTCAGATTTGTTCACATCCACAGTAAAATGTCTGGAGCATTCAGGTCTTATCACCAAAAGCTCTTGAATCTCATGGTCTTTCAAAATTGACTTCCTCTGTGCCATCTTCTACGTGTACGGCCGAGATATTTGTATTTGCTTGCTATGAATTCTGCGGACATTATCCTGCCATTTCTCACTTGGGCTTAATCTGACAAACCCCGGATAATTTTCTAGGGGGCTGTAAATTCTCCGTGGCAACAGACACAGACAATCTCACACAGCCCCTCTGGATAATTTCAGCAGACTGTTTAGAGTTCAGTGCATGTCTAAACGCAACAAATAAGTGTATGGACCCATCTGTCTTCACTGGTCTTCAAGTGGTTCTTGTGAAGCTCTGAGCTGCGTTCATGGTTATTATCCAGCTTTAGTTTGAATCCTCCTCAACACAATTACAAACCAGGATATCTCTGAAGATTAGAGCACAATTTCTCCTCGGTCAGGGTGGACTCAGTTCAGTGCAGTTGTCCAACAAAACCCCTCCAGACTTTATTCGTCTCCTTACATACACCCTCACGTTACTTAACGAAAACTTGGATTCATCAGTAAATAGGACTTTTTTTTTCATCCACTGTGAAATGCTGGTACATTTAAGTCCACCCACAACCGCAAGTATTTAACCTTTTTGTCCTGTACAGAAAAGTTGTTTAGAAACATCTACTTGTCTTCTGAATCCACTACAAGACAGCAATCCTTAGACTTTTGCTTATCAGAGTCTCATGTTCCTATTTTAGCAAATTCTGTATCTATGATAAATCTGTTTTCCCATTTCTCAGGGAAAGTTTGAATAAATGTAAGAGTTCAAGTTGGATTTATACATAATGCAAGGGATTAACAAGAGTGTTGTCTTATAGATATCCAAACCATTTTTATTTGTTGTTCAGTGTTGGATTTTACCCATTGAATTGTATTGCACCTGTCTAGACAAGTGTATTATTCATGATCAGGCTCTGTCATGCTTGTGTTTGTGCTCATGCATTATCTGTTACATTGGTGACTGCAGCTAAGTTTGCAGTACAATCTCCACTGACATGAGACACAGCTTGAGGTTTTGGGGTAATACTGTGACAGTTGTATGGTTGATGATTTAGTTGATTTAGGAAAGAATAAAGCAGACAATAACTGTTTTAATGCTAATATCTGGCACGCAGGTTTTGTATTCTGATTAAGATTAAAAAGTCAAATGTCTTTTCAGCATCACATCTCGAGTCATATTTGCAGCAAATGGAATCATCTATTCAAAGCCCTCACCTGCTGCGAAGTGCTGCAATTGAATAATAACAAGTTCACGATCAAACGTAGCCACACGGTTGCAAACAGAGAGGAACAGGCAGCTGGTATCAGAGACTGTGCTCGGGGGTCTGTGGGGACAGAGTGCACAGGATGTGAACCAGCCATGAAAACACTGCAGGCATTTGATTGGTTTAGGTGTCGCAAGACATCCATATCCAGCACACAATAGATGAGCACAATCCCAATTAAAATTTCATCCACTTCTTTTTTTTTTTTGGATGGGGGATAAAAAAAGAACAAAATCCTCCCGCACTGGATTTCTTGCAGAGCTGAAAAAGCCAGGATGAATTTGTGTGTGCTGACATCTATAATCAATCCTCCAGAGCAAGGATGGGGTTTGATGCCCTGCACTCTCTCGGCTGTTGTCCCCGTGTGTCTGCACCTCTCTCTCTCTCTCTCTCTCTCTGCTCTCTCCTTGTCTGGATGAGGAGAAAAATACAGGCGCAGGATAGGCTTGTCTACTTGCCTTTCAAAACAAATGAACAATGGAGCATGTATTGTGAATGAAGGGAGAGAGCAGAAGATTGGTTTTGGGGCTCGGAGATGAGAGGAGCAGCAAAGAGCACTTAGTGTACCTTCCATACACAGCAATACTGTCAGTGTCTCAGCAGCATACATAAATTCACCTGTTTCACACTGTTGACAATGTGTGTTTGTGGATAAGTTGATAGTTGTAGGATTTAACAGTTTGCTGCATGTCTGTGTGCATACGTGTTATGTCTGTGCATACAGGTGTGTCTGCATATAAAACTGAGTGTGAAGCAGTGTGCATGTGTGTGAGTGCATCCACCACCAGACCCATCCTAAATGTTGCCTTGGCAACAAGCTGACTGAAGTAAATGAGTGTCCTAGCTCTGCTGAGGGATTGTGGGAAAGCAATATGCCAGCGTTCCGCCCCATTAGTTTGACGGACAGCCTGTTTGGCCTATAAGAGGTCAGCTGGCAAGGGCAGCCATATTAGTATTCCATAGGAGAGACCTCCGGATTGGTTTTACTCTAATGTCAATCTACCTGTGTGTGTCTGTGTGTGTGTGTGTGTGTGTGTGTGTGTGTGTGTGTTTGTCTGTGCAGTGTAGGTGGGGGTTTGTGGGAGTTAAAGCTTGTCCTGGCATATAAGATTGCAGGCAGGTGTGTGCGTCATTGTGTGTTTGTGTGGCCTGCTGGGGGTTGCAGGCTCCTCGCCAGGTAAGCAT